AATATTCTTTGTCTCTGTCTCTCGCAGACACCCTCCCCTTCCCCCTAGCAGACAAGTGGAAATTTCCAATGAAGTGCTCAGTGGCTCACAGTAGGTGGGGGGTTGGAGAGGGGGAGGGGAGGGCTTTGCAGCCCTGAAGCCTTTCTGAAGACAGGAAACAGATCTGTTTGAATGCCAGTTCCTAGACTGTCTCAGTTAAACCTTGCTGGATTCATTCAGGGTTCACTGAGGAAGTGAATTATTCACCTTAATGCCAATGTACCATCTGCATGGAAAAGCCCCATTTCTTTTTATATCTGGGTATCATACATTTTAAAAACTGCTAAACCTGCTGCAGAATCCTTACAAATCTTGGGGCACCACCACTAAAAAAAAATCCAAGGCCATAGCAGCCCTGCCATGAAGTCCACCGCAGAGGTACCTACACACAAGAATGGGGTTGGGATGTTGGCCTTGACTTAATGCTGGCAGGAAAGCACAAGAACATGGAAATGTTAGCTAACAGGAAAACTACAGAGGAGAATCAATCTCCTATAGAGTGGGTGCCAGCACTCTTGGAGTAAGCTGCAGACACATTTGGGGAACGAGTCAGTAAAATTCCACTGATTCACCACAGAGCCAGTTATTTTTATCATTCTGCTTACCCATAAATAGAAGGATATCTTATATGTAGGCCAGCAGAACTTTGCTTTAAGCACCTATGCAAATTTTAAAACAGATGAAAATGGGGAAGGAAGGGGCAAATTAGACAAGAAAAACCCCTTTCACTACTGAAGAGTTCTTACACACAGGAATTTGGAAGTCAGCCCAATCTCACTACAGTAACACAAGAGTCAAAACCAATCTGAAGCATCCTTTTACAGACAAGCACAAGCCCAACCAACACTGAATATGGACCAGTTTCTTCTGTAGTCCCATCTCCTGCACCAGAAATCACTCAGTCTCAGTTCAGCCCATCTAGTGGAAGGAAAGCTTAAACGATGTGAGCCCTGGAGTAAGACACTGAAGTGGTGCTGGCAAAGAGTGGCTTAAAACGCCTGCCCACTTTTAACAAGAATGTAAATAAGCATACGCTCCCTCCTACATATGCGACTTCCTCCCCTTTCAGATGCTGAGGAATACAGTAATAACACTCCACAACAACCTTGCCTTTCACACAGGGTTAATGAGGATATCAAGGGGAGCATGTAAAGGCAAAAGGGGAGATGATCTAGGGGGCCTGAGAGAGACCAAAGCAAACCCAGAGCTAAGACTGATTCCTAGACCTCCTGAGACTCCCAACTCCAGATTGTGCTCCAATGGTTTCCAGATGCTGCCCGGTGACAATAGGTGCTAAGGCCAACAGCCTCCATCTGGAAAGCTGGCCTAGGAGGAGACCCAAACTTCCCAAACACCGCAATGTAACCAAGCAGCACCAGGGGCATCTGATCAACTTCTCCCTGTTCCTAAATTCACATCACCTGGGAGACAATTGACTTGGGACACGACTTCCCTTGGAAAAATAGTGTTAATCAGTTACAGGTGTCTGAAATATTGTCTCCCTAGTAAGGGTGACCTGACCCAGGCCTCATTCTGCCAGGTAGAACACAGAATTGTATTTTTAAAAACAGGTTTAAAATGGTCCTCAACTGTATATATATGGCTTACACAATTCTTCTGACCCCCCAAGATTATGAATTAAGTAAATTTCTGTGGACCAGTCTGGGGACTTAACCATCAAGTTGTTCCAATGGGAAAATAAGTTCCCAGTTATAAACAACAGACTTACAGACAAATTTCTGGAAAATAACCTGTTTTGAAAGTGGGGACTGACCAAATTAATATTTGGAATATAATGACTATATTTTTATTTTTGGCATAAACTGGTAATAGATGTTATAGTAATAAACATCAGGTACCATTTCCAAAGTATACCCTCCTCCTCTGGGAAGACTTCCCAGATAACCCTAAAGCAGCAGGATCTCTCCTACCTAAGCACTTTTCTACTTCCTCCTTTCTTTCAGCCTACTTGCACATGTGTAGCAGGGGGACTGACTTTGAGGAAGGAGGTGGGGAGAGCAGAATGACAGAGGCAATCGCCCAACCTGTTGGGAAGTAACTGCAACAGGGCCTCCTGACACTTACTCCCTGCTGTGCTGGGCACCTTCACTCACACTCCCGTTATTAGTTAGCACTACGCAGCCAAGCCCCAGATTAGACCGAAAATTCCTTGAGACCAGGAACCACGACAATCACAAGAATCATCCCGAGACCTATGGATACCACTAGGGCATCCATTTCTCCCTGTAAAATATAAAAGCAATAAACACATGATACCTACAACGCCACAGTGGAATGTGGATTTTCAGAGGCATCTAGACTCACTCCATTAGCCAACTACACACCAGCATCACGATTCAGACAGCCCCTCGCCAAAACTACAGATACATGTCCTGGCCTAGGGCTGTTCAAAAAGAGCCAAAGCTTTGAATGCTAAATACATAACCAACAAGTCCAGTCTGTTTCTTCTTAACCATTTCAAAAAAGTGAGCCTTCCCAGCACCTAACACACCCTGGCACATAATCCACTTAATAAATGTCTGTTAATACTTTGTGTGGCTATGTGCAATGCACATAAACAATATGCCAAGTGAACAAAATGCTGGTGCAAACCTTGTTGGGGTTAGTGACTATGGAGGGGACTGGCTGAAGCTAGTATCAGACTAACTTTAAGCTCCACACTGCAGACATCTGGGCACACCAACCAATTCCAAATCTTTATCCAGGTAAATCCAAACTACACTAGCCTCTCACATCCTCAATCCCCAAAAGTCACTATGGAGACTATTAATGGATGTTACAATAAAAGGTAATATGGTCAAGGAGAATTGATAAATGAAGAGATCTTATAGAGGAGGCTTCTCACTGTTTATATGTCAATGTATGTTGTGACTCTCCAGAAGGGATTAGATCATGCAAGCCTTCCCACATTGAATTGATCACACACATACCTTTTTTTTTCTTTGGTGGAGCATCTCTGTAGAACTAGTGTTCACAGACCACACTTTGGAAAATCTTGAACAAATAAATACCAGAAACTGATTTATCCTAGAAAAACATGAACCTTCCCCACTGCGGCTGGGCACCACCTTTCTGTGTCTATATATAATACACATATGTAATAAGGTTTATGAATATCACTTCTCCTTTGCTGAGGAGTCTAAAAGTAAAAGAACAAGAAATAAAATCCTTAAAAGTCAATGAACTAAATAATTGCAACACAGTTCTTGGTGAGGCACATGCACCTTGTCAGAAATCCAAAATGCAGGGCTAGCGCTGTCAGCAATTCTAGCTTAGTCCCAAGGTGGGTTCTTTCAGGGCCTGAATTTATTCCACCCATAAAGAGAAACAGTACCCCCCACACCCTAGCACTGCACACAAAGGCCTGAAAACTAAATGAGTTAATATGTGATTCTCAAAGTGTGTGCTTCAGACAAGCAGCATCAGCATTACCCAAGCACTTGTTACAAGTGTATATTCTAGGATGTTGGTCACGCCAGCCCTCAACACAGTCAGATCCTCTATTTGGAAAAAGGGCAGAAGGAAGACCCCTACTGGACACCCCTGCAAGCATCACATGAATGTGGAAACTGACTTTTCTCCCTGTTCAGTGCCTTTCACCTGAAAACCTGACTAATAACTCTTGGCCAGATTTTATATTCCTCTTTAAACAAAAAGGCAAAAAGATTCATAGTCTTGTTGTTAAAACCACACCCATTAGTGGTGAAGATAGAAAGTAAGGTTGTATACACACACACACTATCTCCATCCCTCACTGTTGTTATGATTGTGGAAGAAACCTAGCCACTGTGCATTTTCTGTTGCCTAGCAACACCTCAGGCACTCTCTTCAAAGGTGTTCTCAAGAAGCTGAACACTAGCACTAAACACAGAGAGGCAAGCAAAAGATGAAATCTGCAGTACGTGCTGCATCTCAGCAGAAGGTTCAAATGCATTAAGAAAGCCTTGATGTGAGACGTGACTCCACTCAGGTCCCAGCTCATGTACTGCACCTGCACAAGACCACTAGATCTGCGTGATTCAAAGCAGCACTCTGTCCACAGAGCACATGTGCAGATCTCACTTGATCCCCATGACAATATAGATGGGAGAATGACTACCTGATTTAGTACTCAAGGAAGCCAGAATCAGAGAAGCCAAATGACTTGCTGAAGGCCACAAGAGCTGGTGAGAACCAGAGAGAGAATCAAGTCTTCTACTCCTGGAATTTTCCCACTGTGCTAAAAACTGATTCCCATCTTCTCTAACATCTACTTCCAGGAAACCTACCAACATGAGAAGATCCTTTCCCCAAACCAGAAACCATGGGCATAAAAAAAGACACCATTGGGGCTTAGAGAAGCTTCAAATTGACACTATAAATTGCTCTCAAAGAATTTCTACAAAGGTGCTTATACTACAGAATCAAATTCTTGACATATGTTTGAGGAAGCTGCTGTACACTGTGGGAGAAAAAATTCCATGATAGAAAACTGATCATTAGCCAGAGTAGGTAAAACCACTTTTCTCTTGTGGATTAGGCTCTGGTTATGCAAACTGGTTGAAAGAGACTCATTTTGCTTGTTATCTGTAAGCTACATATTTACAAAGGATGTACTGAGTATGTGGACAACGCATTGTTCACTGAGGTGTTTTAAAGGCAAAGTTAAAGCACCAGGGGAAAAACAGTGCTTAGGCTGACAAGAAAAGCTTCCCACAACCAAGAGCTGATAAGGCCAGTGCTCCTAGAATGGCCTGTTTCCGTTCTCTGATTATAGTCCGTTAAGGGCCAGCATAACTGCATCCCACTTGCAGCCAACATTGCTAGGGTGTATGCCTGAATGACACCTGGCATGACAGGGATCTGACTGTGAAATTATAATAATTTCTAAGATTAATTAAACAGTATTCCCTACTGAGCCTATCAAAGACGTTTTTCAAGCACTTCATGAAGAAACTTACCCCCCTCTCGTGTGCTGTTGACTGTGGATGGAGATCTTATAAGGAAGTGCTCTTTCGCCCAGGTTTTCCAAATTCCTCACTATGGCTCCTCTGTCCATCAGGGCTTCTATCGTACGTTTCAAAGCAGCAGCAGTATCTGGCTGTTTTTGTTTTCATTTTTAAAGAGAAGGAAAAAAGCCCATCAGAATCAATACAAGAACTAGAATGATTAGGTCTGGTCAGTTCCAATCAAAACAGCTCTACTGGTAGGGATCTTTGGGTAAAAGCAACAGAAATTGGTTTTGGCTAACTTAAAAAAAGATAGTTATTGTAAGGATACGAAACAGTTCACAGATACCAAGGAAAATCTGAAGAATCAGAGTCCAGAGAGTTCAGGGACCAGAGCAGCCCCGGAGATATCTCTCTAAGCATATGTATACACAAAAAAATGTTGGAAGGAAAAATACAAGGGCAAATCTGAAAAATGTAACTAGTGCAATGTGGAAAATAAGGGCAAGATATGGCAAAAGAGGGCAACAAAATGTGGCGGCTAGGAGAATGGCACTGAAATTTGGAGAAGCTGGCTGGGAACAATAAAAGTTGAATTTGTTTTAGGACATGCTGAGTCTGAGATACTCCTAGCTCCCCTAGGGTGTCCTCTCAAGATGTCAATCTTAAGCTCAAAACAGTAGTCAAGTTAGAAATACACATTTTACAGTCATCTGCATAGAAGGCCACCTAAAGCCTGAAGAGGAGGAGAGGTCGCTGAAGGAGGGAGGATGGAGGTGAGGAAGAGAGGTCAACTACAGAACTTGGGAGTGCAAACATTTGGGGGCTGACAAGAGTCCAAGTCAGAGAAGCAAATAGAAAACGTATAGTCAAACAGGACAAGGAAAATCAGGACCCTGCCTTTTCACAGAAACCAAAGAAAGAGGAAGTCTCCAGAATGATGCGGCAGAGGGTGGAGATAAAGAAAAAGCCACAGTGTGGTGGCTGCATAGGCACCTAGCAAGACAGGGCCAGAAGGCAGACTGCAAGTGTTCCCACAGAAGAGGTGTGTTGAGCTCGAGGGGCAAGCAAGTTTGAACAAAGTGTTTTAGGAGAGAAGAAACATGAGCAAGTGAGCAGTTAAAGAGTAATGGACCAGTTGAGAGGATAAAGTGTAGGATTTAAACAACAACAGTAATGGCAGCTATGATTTACTGCATAACTTCTATATGCCTGACATTGGCCTAGTGCTTTTTTACTATTACACATTTAATCTTCGCCAAAAGAAAAAAAAAAGAGCCAAGAGAAGGCTTACCGATTCGTAATTGGGCCTTACAGAGATGCCATGACAAGGCAGGTAGTTAAGTGGAAGAGCCTGCTGCAAGGAAAAGAAAAACTGCCAAAATGCAGTTGGGAGGAGGCCAGAGCACACCTTGGCCAAGGTAAGGGGCACTTCTCCCACAGAGGCAGAAGTGAACAGATGCGAGCAGGATTTTGAAGTGCAGGAACTTAAGGAAAGGCTACCTTCCAATGGCTTATTTTGGGTCAAATGAGAAGAAAATTGCAGAAGTTTAAGTGTGCATTCTGGTAACAAAAGAAAATCCACTATATTTTATAAAGTTTCTTTCTAACGAATACTGCTAAAATGTTATGAACGCACAAAGTACTAGCTTAAGGCTTAGAAAGAAATTTTTACTTTGATTTCATATTGTAACACACCAGGGATTTTTTAAAAGTTCCTACTGAAATGTTATGTTTATTTACATATTTAACCAACCTTATGATAAAATAGAAATGTCCGGAAAAAAATAAAAATAAGAGCCAAAATCTCTTCCCATTAATAATAACTAGGTAAAAAGTCTATGGCAACTTTCTTTATGATTGTGTTAGACATATTCTTATACAGTTCTAATCACAGGGATACTAAATTCTTCTCCCATTTCATTAGTTCACAAAGACATTTCCATATTTCTGCAGAAGCCTAATTATCACCAGCAGAATACTACTTCATTTCATTTAAAATGCCATTTCTTGAGCTGGCATTATATCAATTAACTTGTGATAAGTTACCATCTATCCAAATTTTTAAAAAGGGTATGATTTAAAAAAAAAAAACAACAAAACAAAACCAACTTTGATTAATTACCATCTCTTGATAAGCTACCCAAATCATACCTTTTAATTTCAATTTTGCCTGAAATTAAATGGCCACATTCACTTCACTGTAATTTCAAATTACCCAGAAATTTTAAAAAGGAAGGAAGAAGCAAAAATACTTCTTGTTTATTAAGCTTGCTCAACATGTCCCATATACCTTACCTCACAATTAAACAGGGTCAGTAAACTAGGGCCCATGGGCCAAATCTGGCTCGCTACCTGTTTTTGCAAATAAAGTTTTATTGCAACATATAGCCACACTCATGCATTTGCAGTGTCTACCGTTGCTTTCATGCTAAAGGCAGATCTGTAATTACATCAGAGACGATATGACCCCAAAGCCTAAACTACTCACTATCTGGCCAACCCCTGCTCTACAATTTGATGGGTTGAGGGAAGCCAGCAGGGCCTCAAACCACTGCCCCTAAAATGCATCACAAATAAAACCATGAGCCTGGGCCACTGACTGATGTGCAGAGGTTGAATTCCCCATGGGATGAGTTTATCAGGTGGACACACAGGACAGCACCTAATGAATACCACCACCCTGGCTGTTCAATTTACCACAGGGCTCAGAACTGATTCTACAAATTCACCATTCCATCCATCAAGCTACTAATCTCCTAATCAACCCAGGTTACCAACTGCAACTTTCCTCGTTTAGTGAAACCTTCAGATCTATTAAAATGAAATTCTTAGGCTTGGTGGAAGAAAAGTTCTGCTCAATCCAGCACAATGTTCAATTTGTAAAAGCATATGGTTTACAGAAAGCAAATTATCTTGCTGCCATAATTCACATTTACAAGGTCTCTCTGAATCATTTAACTCCAACTATCTAAGAGAAGTCAGGCATGCTTCATAAGGGTTTTTCCCACTCCATTTGAAAGCAGTATCCCAAGACTTTCCTCCAACCTACCATATATGTTGATGGAACACAATTTTGGCAAGGCACAGAAAGGGTACTGAAAACATTCATTTGAAAAAATACAGAAAAGAAACAATTCACAAACATGAATGGGAACTAGGAAAACAGAATTCTAGTCTCAGCTCATTCACTAATGAGTTATACAACCCTGGATAAATTGCTAAAATTGGTCTACTGTAAACTCATGCCTCAGTTTCCTCATCTGCTAAACTACTGGTTCTCAATTTTTTCTGTTTCTACAAGCTCTACATAACATTCATATTGCAATTCTCAACATCTCTTGGAGGCAAAGTTTAATAAAACTCTCTCTCCCTCTCTCTCTTTCTATGCTCTCAATATGATATCCTCGTCATCCAAAAGTGACCCTCCCACCACAGGTACTCTACTCCCGATGTCATTCTCATTTACTTCCAACAGCATTTGTGGCAATCTATAAATATTCTTTCACCAACTAGAATGTAAGCTTCAGAAGAGCAAGGACCTTTATCTGTCTTGTACACAACTGGATTCCCAAAGTCTAAAACAGTCCACATCACAGAATAGGTGCTAGAAACAGTTGTTAAATGAGTTAATGTATCAACTGTACCTCCCTAAGTGGGACTCTTGCTTACTTACTCCTATCTTTTCTCAAGGAACCCTAAGTTTCCTCCTATCTCTAAAACAACTTGAAGACACTTTTCACATACAACAAAGCTCAATAGCAGGGTAGTCACTGTAATACTGAAGAAAAATTACAATATGTACTAGTGTTTTCCCACTTTTTCATGTAGCACAAAAATGCTATTAATACCAATATTGTACATCAAAAAGATACAGAATTCATGTAGAAGTGAAACTAAATACTAAATATTACATACATTTCAAAAACATCAAGTTCAAATATACATACAAATGTAAATGTTAAAATAATAGTGTTCTAATTATTTGCTGATAAGGTAAGATAAAATACTATCCAAAAAAAAGATTAACTGAACAGTACTTTAAAAAAGAGAACTAATTCTGGAAAAATTAAAACCAACTTTTGATCTTACAATCAATAATTTCTAAAACTCCTAGTGTTTAGCCTACAAAATACTTAGGGAAAAACCCAACAGCTAATTTCAAATATTTTCAGGGCTATTATACAAGAGATAGATTTATTTTGATTAGACCCCAAAGGTAGACTGGAATCAAAGAGTAAAAATCAAAGAGAAACAGAGCTTTGATCTGTACACGGGAATACATTTCTAAAAAACTACAGCTGTATGAAAATGAAATGGGCTCCCTGTGAAGTAGTGGCCTTCCCATCACTTGAAGGATACAAATAGACATGGGATGGCCATCGTATCAACATTTGCACTGGGTGGGAGGTTGAACTCCACAACTTCCAAAGCTCCTGCCAAGACGGAATTCCAATACTATTCTGGTACCACTCATCATTCTGAAGGACATGCTTAAGTGAAACTGGCTTTTTTGAAAACAGCAACTGTGTGGGAGTGAAGAATACTGAGTACTAGTAAAAGTGCCACTGCATGGATTTATGCTAATGAGCTAGCTGTTTTAGCCACTACTTCTTTTACAATGATCCCCTGAAAGGATCCCTGGGAAGCCCAATGGTCCTCAGACCACATTTTGAAAACCACAGTTCTAGAGGTTCTAATTGGCAAAGTTTCTATCACAAAAGATGAGAGCAAAAAGATGGGAAGAACTAAAGAAGGTCATCTCTACGTGCCCCCAAAATAAAATCCCCATCCAGTAAAAGTTATTTCAGCTAAGAATTCATGGGAGTATCATAAACAACATCGTTGGTCAATGTCCAGTGTTTAAACTGATTAAACATATTTTCATCCCCAAAGAGAAACTTGGCAGCAAAATTATCTTATAAATTAAACTCTATAGCAGAGTTTTGAGCCAGTGGCCCTCAGATGCACCCAGCCAGCACCACAACCCCCCCTCAGTCCACCGGGACATTAGAAACACACAGAATCCACATGTAATGGCACACAGCATCTGCCTACACCTTGCCTTCCTCGTATTACAAAAAGCGGTACAACCCCCAAGAGCAGGTAGAACTTAGGGAAGATAGAACCAGGACAGAAAAGCGTCAAAACC